GCCTTCAATGCTTGCATCCAGAGGGAACACGCTTTAGTGATGAGTTTCCTGGACCCAAGGCAGGCCAGGGGAGTGGATTTCAGAGTTGGAAGGGCCCCTCAGAGACCTTCAGCTCACAGTGACAAGGCAGCTATGGGTTCCACCGTGAGACTCTGCTCCAAGGCCTTTGGTCTCTGCTCAGCCCCCAGCCTGTCAGATCACAGCCTTCCTCCTCTTCCTCTTCTTCTTCTTCCTCCTTCCCTCTCTCCCTCTTTCCATCCAGTGAAAACAAAACAAAACAAGCCCAATACCTCTCAGGGGCAGTCCCAAAGCTTCCATAGCTTCATCTCTGTGTTCAGAGTTCTTTGTCGACTCCTTTGGACGTGGCCTCATGTTCAGATACATTCTGAAAGGGCCACTTACAAGATCCACTTTCTGTCTATCTTTCAAAGCTTTGTTCAGTTCCCCCTCCTCCATGAAGCATTCTAGAACCACTCTATTTGGAAACAGACTGAGCAGAATTAATGAAAACTACTCATGGATTCCCATGTACTAGACACAGGAGACCAGGTAGATCAGACATAGCTCCTGCCCTTGAAGAACTGACAGCCTACCAGGGCAGAGAGAAGGTCAAGGATTGAACAGTACATGTGGGCTGTGCCTGTGTTTATCAGCATGCTGGGGGAGCCAGCTGACTTCTGGGATTCTAGGAAGAGAGCTTCTGGTTCTATGAAAATTTACTCACAACTTTTCTGGTCCTCAATTCATTTGGTGTTGGAAACTCCACTCTGTAGACTCCTGTCTGTGCTGCTTCTGGTTGGCTACAGGGGTGAACAGGGAAGGGGGGATATGGAACGTGTGTGGGTTCTGGGTCTCCTGCTCCCAACTCCAGCCAGATGAGCTCCACTTTTAACTGTATCCTTTACCTTATATAGCCAATTTCTTCTGAACAAAAGACTGCATGGCTTTTAAAGTTTGAAAGCGACTAAATTAGATGACCAAGGTACCCAGGCCCATGGCACTCTGGACTCACAAAGTCTCCACAAAACAGGTTTGGTGGACATATAAACTCGGAAAAGACCACTGGGCATATCAGGCTATTGGCCACTCACAGTATTTGAGTGTGCTATTAGGTGTACTGGCAAATGTTTAACAACCGGCTCTCTGTGAGTGAGGAGGGGGAAGCCCTGATGTGTAGTGTTTGCTGATTTCCATGATGTAAATTCTCCCAACACAGGAGATGTCAAGTTATCAATGTGAAGTCTCTGAATGCAGAGTTGGCAAGAGATTCACATAATAGGCTCAGGAGCTGGCTTTCACACATCACTGGGTACAGGGTACCAATTAAGGACCCACTGTCTTCCTTTTTTGGGTTTAGAACCAACTAAGATACAGACCCAGGAGACAGACGGAGGCTAGATTGTCAGTCTTATTATGATTAAAGCTGGTGACAGGATGTGGTTGGTTGGATGATTGTTCAGATATCTGTCTCCTCTGATTCTACAGGAAGAGTGTACTTCCCTCTTCCTTTGATTTGGGGCTCAGGGTTCCTGTTCCAAGCCTGAGTCCTTTTGTACTTGTGCCATCACCGTTAGATGTCCAAGCAATGCTCTGGTCCCAAGAGGAGGCACAGGAGCAGAGCTGAGCTGCCTCAGCATGCCCAGCGAGCCCCCCTCAGCCGACTTGGAGACTCCAGAGCTAAATAAATGCTCATCGTTGTTTGCTTCTGGGCTTTTGTGGTTTTTATTAGACAGCATTATTGGGCCATAGTTAACTTATTCAGAAAATGGTACCTGGGATGGGAGGCTGCCCTAACGAAGTCCTAAAGTACACAGCATAGGTTTGAAACAGGGCAGTGAGGAAATTTAGAGGAGGTTGGAAAAATGGCAAGAGAAATGGTGACCTGTGCCGTGTGGTGGAGAAATATTTGGTAAAATTATTGCTTATGGTAATTTGGTAGGGAGAAAATGTACCTAAGAATTTGTGGAATTGGGCAGGCTAGTTTCCAGGCAGAACATTGTAAACACGAGCTTCCTTGAACTGTAAATGATAAGGCACTACAAGTAAGAGATGAGTTCAGGAAGGAACCAGCCAGTTTACATGCAGAATCTGGAAAATGAAATGATTTCTCATTTCCAATCTCTCCAGCCACTAAAAGATCTTCAAATTAAGATTTGGCCTGGGGTGCAAAAGACCAAATCTAGGGCAGTTTCAGTGAAACGCGGCCTCAGAGAAAAGAGGAAATCAAGGATGTGCCCATGATTGCAATGCCCTGTGTCTTAAGCTCTGAAAGGAGTAAGGTGGCTTGAGAATACCCTTTCACTGACAACAGGGTGCCTGGAAACCCTCAGGGCATGGCCCCATAGAGTCTGTTGTGGGTAATCAAATGTAGAGAGAGGCATGTGGTCAAAGGAATCGTGGGTGTGGCTTCTGGCACAGAGTGGACTGGAATCAAAGATGTAGAAAACCCACAGTGTTTGAGAGTGCTGCAGGGGAAATGCACTGTAAGCATGCAATAAAGTGGATTGAGGCTGTCTGAAATGTAAAGGACATCAGGCTCCCAACTTCCTTCAGGCAGGAAGAGGTTGAAGTTACTCCACTGCCAAAGAGGATAAAATTTCCAATGCCCTCTTTAGAAGCTGGAAGGATGATGAAGAGGAAGAGTACTCCAAGGGTGGAAGCCAGAGCTGCAGAGCACAATGGACTGGGGAGCCACTCAAGGAACATTCCACCCCAGAGTAGGGGCACTGGCAACATTTGCCCAGCAGGATTTCAGATACTGTGGACCAGTGTCATTGTAGTGATTCCAGCCCTGTCTCACTGTATGTTGGGTGTGTGTATGTGTGTGTGGGGGTGAGGTGGCTAGGGAACTTCTCCTTTTAGTTCCTAAGTCTCTGGGTCAAGAGGAGCCACATCCAGGACAGATGCAGACCACATGATCCTAGACTTTGAGCCTGATGATTGACTAGATACATTGTGAGGGGTCCTGGGTGAGTATATTCTACATGTGGGAGGGACACGAATCAATGTCTCTACGTATTATTGTTGAGAAATATTCACTCTCTCCCTTTCACATCCGGGAAGGACTTCCCGATGTCACTGATGATGGGTTTGGCCTTGACTTGCTGTGGCCAAAGAATGAGGTGAAGTGATGGTGTACTCGTTCTGAGGAGAGGCCTAAAGAGGACTCACATTTTTCTGCTTGTCTTCTTGGGCTTCTGCCATCTCCATAAGAAGGCCGTGCCCAGGCCAGCGTCCTGGTCCCAGGAGAAAGATGGGAGTTGTTGGAGCAAACCCAAGCTGCCCTAGACAAGCCATCTAGATTAGCTGCCCCAGCTGACCCGCAGAGCTGCCCAGCCCAACTTGGATCAGCCGACCCTCAGTTGATCCAGATTCATGAGCTAAATGAATGCTTGTCATGTGGTGCTAAGGCTGTTTAGACATTGTTACGCAGCATGATTGTGGCCACGGTTAACTGACATGGAGCATGTGGCTGAGCTGAATGGCCACAATGGGCTTCTTAATACTGTGGCTCGTCCAGTCTCAGGCAGCAAGGAATAAAATTTTGGCCTCCCCTTCCCTGAAGCGGGGCAGAACTGCTTCTAGAGGCTTAGTGTGTGGTGAAGCAGAGAACGTGTGAGGCCTGAGATAGGCTTTGAAAGAGGCAGAGGAAATGGCCCAGCCAGGCAAGCTCAGTTCCTCCTCCACGAGTGCAATCAGCTAAGTGAGTCCTCCCCAAGGAGGAGCGAGGCCAGGAGTGTGACCTCGGCCATAGTCTTTCCACCAGGAAACGATGGCCAGAGAAGGAGTGGATCCCCCAACACACAGTGAAGACTCTGGGATGCCCTGAAGAAAAGAAACTGCTACATTCCATCTTCCTTGGGAGTTCCCTACATTTATTTACCAGAGAACCCTTCTTCAGTCCATTTGGTTTTATCCCACAGAACTGGCTTTGAGTTTGAACGTCCTCCACGTGGCTTTGGAGGTGGGGACCAAGGTCGTGCTCATGGAAAGGAGGAAGTTAAGGGGCCAGGGCTGGGAGTTCAGAGGTCCAGTGTGCCTGGCCCTACAGAAGGTGCCTTCTACCCGCTTCAACCCAGTCCGGGCACCCTGTTCCCCTGTCCCAGTTCCAGAATTCGTCCCGGGCCTCATGCCCTACTCATGAGCCCCTGTGAGGTTGACTGCAGGGGCCCAATCTCTGCCAATGGCTGACTGCTGGCTTGCTAGACCCGGGTCCTCCCTATGCAGCTGCCAGGGCTGCCTCCTAGGGCTGAGACCCTGCTCACGGCTGCTCCCCACCAGCCCCTTTGCCCAAGGCTGGCTGCTGGGTATGCTGGGGCTCTGCCTGCTGGCCCTGACTCTCTCTTTTTGCCTGCACCAGAGCACAGGGGTCTGCCTGTCTTCTCTCCCCCGACCCCACCCCAACTCAAATGTGCTCATCAGACTGTTTGTCAAAGAGGGGATTCTACACGAGGAGGGTTTGGGACTCTGCCTGGATTTGATGTGCATGGTTCTTAGCAAACCAACTAGATGTTCAGACCAGCTCGGTGAAGAACAGCCGGATACTCACTGTAAACGTCAAATCGTGCCCACTCCGCACCCCAGAAAGTCAACAAACAGCCAGTAAATGCCTCAGCAGTAAACATTTCTTGGTGAAGGTGGGACAGTCAATTTTGACACGGTTGAGAAAAAATACAGCCTCATTTCTGTTCAAATGCACCAAATTTACTGCTCAGGTTCTCATTAACTACTGTCAAGGAAGAAGCAGATAGACAAAATAAATTATGAAAAAATTACTTTTTTAATGTACAAAAAGACTTATTTACAAGTTGAGCATGTCATCTCAATTCATAGCATGTAGAAAAAGCTAAAAATGTTTTGGAATATAAATTTGGCTGGATGGTTCACCTACAGTGTTTTTAGGGCTGATGTCTTCTGTACAGACTATATACAGGTTGGGAACCGCTAGAGAAATCCTAGCTCCGGGGGTGAATGACCACCACAGTGCCCCGACCCCGGGAGCCTTGTCTTTGGACCCCAACAACGATTTGATGTTCTGGGAAGCAGAGGGCCCAGGGAAGGTTTTGGCCTTGATCCGGTTGAAGCCAGGGTCACAGTCAGAATCAAGCTCATCGTGGTATAGTTGGTTTTGGCAAGGTTGCTGCAAATTCAACATGGAAGGGTATGGGGTGTGTGTACGTGTGTGTGGTAGGCAGGATGCATCAATTCACCCGCCAGCATGTTCAGGAACGGTGCCTGCTGATGTCAGTTCTAAATGCCATTTCCGGGTGGGGCTTGGTCACACTGAACAGGAAAATTCAGTGATGGTCCCTCAGAGTCCCAGGAATCAACCCTTCACCCTCCCACCCCACCCAAAACACCATGCATGTCATAGTTCTCTGCGAAATGAACAGGAGGCAGAGGGCCGGAGTGCAGAAGATCCCGGGACTGCACGTTGTGGCCTGGTGTAGACCACTGGGCTGCTGGTGAGTGGACAGCAAGGCCTGGAGGAGCCTGGGCACAGGCTGCCGTCAAGCCCTGGGGTTTTCCATGGTCAAGTGGGTGGATAGTGCATTGGCGAAACAGGACTGGGTAAACATGCGACTTCCTCTTCCTACTGGGAGACCTCAGGGCGGCCTGGGGCTGGGCCCCTGGTGCACTGTCTGTCTCCTGAGGTCTCATCCCACACTTTGGCTCATCTCGGTCCATCCCTAACCCACAGCAGCTCCGGCAGCCCCGAGGTATTTAGAAGTGAGTGTTCTTTTCGGGAAGGGCTACATTCTACATGCATGAACACAGTAAACACGGTCTGGAGCGGCCAGGGCAGCTTCTGGGCTTGCCCCGAGTAGTACAGTTTCTTCTTTCCTTTTTCTGGCAATACTTCCATACTTTATTCATTCCTATACACTTGGACAGTCTGCCAGATGCAAACTCGACTTTGCAGGGTAGAGATGCCAGCTCTACCAAACCTGGAATTAGGATGTGCTTCTGAACCATCCAGGTAAAATCTTTTTTTCCTCTGTGGCAAGGGACGTTCGAGGCCTCAAGAATTAAGCTTCAGAGAAGAGTTCTGGTGGGCCAGGGGTTTCTTTTCCTTGCAGGTACCAGAATGAGAAGCTCATCTTCCTGGATGAGAATATCCAGTATGGCTTTCAGATTCAAACCGTAAGGTGGTTCCTTGACCCTCTTTCCTCGTGTACTTGGAAAGCCCTTGGCCAAGGTAATCCCTCATTAGCCAAATGACAGGGGTGAAGAAGCCAGGACAGAGCGGTCCTATAAACACCAAAGCTGGGAAGCACTGTGTAAACGAGGTTTTCATTCCTGCCTTGCCTTTCCTGTTGAGATTTTTTTCGGTGTTCCGAAAAATAACCCACAAGAAGCCCAGACAGGATGCACATAAACCTGCCCTTAAAGCGTTTGTGGTCTGAACCAGCAAAACTCCCTCATACCTATTTAATACTTTTTTGGAAAAAGACGAAATGAATGAAAACCCCACGCTCTGGGGAGTGATGGTGCCTCCAGGTCCGCTCAGCGTCAGGGGCTGGGGCCTTAGGTCATCATGTTCAAGAACTTGCTCTCCTCGGCCAGGCTGGTGAGCATGGAGCTCATGTCCCCGACGGCCATGTTGCTGATGCCCGTGGGGATGGAGGGCAGAGTCAGGGAGTTCCGGGGGGTGGTGAGGCGGGAAGAGTTCTGGGAGAGGCTGTGGAGGAGGCTGGGGCTCAGGGTGCCCGAGAGCAAGCTCGAGTGATCGCCATCATCCATGATGGCATCAAAATCAATCTGGGGGGCCTCTAGTAGCTGGGAGTCCACGGTGCTGGACACCTGGTTGACCCCCGGCGAGGGCAAGGACTGGGGCTGGATGCTCTCCGGGCAGGCCTGTGGCTGAGGTGGCTGAGGCCTTGTGACTTGGCAGCCTATGTGGTTCTCCAGGCCTCTATCCTGTTCATACATGTGGATCTGGCCATAGTAGTAGAGCATGTTGTGGTCCTGGGCCCTGCCTGTGTCCTGTGGGGGCGGCTGAGGAGGCAGGGACACCATGGTGCCCATAACTCCTTTGGGCACAGACTCTGCCATCTCCTGGTTGGCTGATACGGCAGCCATGGCATGGCCAGTGGCCCTGGTATAGGCGAGCTGCTGCCCAGCACGTACCCCACGGTGGCGGCCAGCAGGGCTGGGCTCAGGGGGTGGCCGGGGTTGCACTAGGCCAAAGCTTGATCCAGCCAGCCCCACTGTGCCCTGCTGGGGCTCCATGAAGCCAGGCTGGTGGGAATGCAGAAGGCTGGGACCCTGGCTGTAGCCCTCTTGGCTTATGGCGGTTGCCAGGTGATGACTCTGCTGTGGGTAGCTCTGGGCTGGGTGAGGTGGTGGCATCCCAGCCAGAGTGGAATTGGGGACCCCAAGTTCCCTGCGGCTGTTGCCCATCATGGTGGGGTCGAGAGCAACTTCCATTTGCTGGGGGAGCCCCAGGTGGCCTGGCTTGGCAGCCATGTTGCTGCAGGATGGGGAGAACTGGTTCAGGGCCCCACCCATGGTACCAGGGCTCAGCTGGGGGTGGACGTGGCCATAGCTGGTGTGCGGGCTCACAGTGGTGGTCATGCTGGGACACTGGCCACCTGTCCCTGGCTGCCTCAGCTGCTGCATATAATTTACCCTGGGCGCAGAGGGGGCTCCGCTGCAGGGCTGAAGGTGTGGCTGCGTGCTGTCCAGGCCCCCAGGGCTCGGCTGCAGGCCTTGTGGACTGTAGCCTGGGTACTGGCTGAAGGCCAGCTTCTGCTGCACCACAGCCAGGTTGCCCTGTGGAAAGGGTGGAGGCTTCGCCTGGCTGGCCAGGGTGTCCACGGTGCCGGAGCTCACCTCATTCCACTGCACCGGCATGCTGTTTTTGTTCAGGTTGGAGGGGGCGCCATAACCCAGCTGGCAGCTTCCTAGCACCGGGGCAGAGGGGCCCACGTTGGAATCGGCAGCCACCACCCTGCGCTGGCCGTGCAGCCCGGGGCTGGGCAGTTTGGGGTTCTCAGAGAAGCAGGAGCTTTCTGGGGCATAGGCCTGCGGGGTGCTCTCCTCCAGGGCGCCGCCGGCATGAGCTTTGATGTACTGCACCACGTCATCGGGCAGCACGAGGTCATCCTCCGGCAGCACGAGGCTGGCCTCCGTCCCCGCGCCGTCGGCCCCGGCCGCCATGGCCTCCAGCACCACGTTCTCGCTGATGCTGGGCGGCCGCGGCGAGTAGGCGCCGCAGGCCAGGCTGCCGTCGGCGCCCGCGTGG